TTTCAGAAGATTATTATGAATATGATTTTTATGAAGAATCATATGAGCCAACAATAAGTGTTAGTCATACTGATGATCGGTTAAGGGACGTTCCAAGTCCAGTCTTCAACTCTGAGAAAGTTCAAGGTCAGAGAACTTATTTTCCTGAGACTTGGCTGTGGAAGATTAATATGCTCAAGTAAGATTTTTTTACTTGTTCTTGTATTGCATTTAATGCATGCTTATTTGAGATTCAGGAAGTATACTAGATTGCAAAAATTTTGTTTTCCCTGTGCTTTTGTGAAAGGAAACAAGTGGAATAAGTCAATGTGTGAATGGATAGCAAGCAGGCAATAGGTTACAAAATGTGTATGAGGAATGGTATTTTTTCATGTTTTTTTTATATCATTATTTTATCATTATTTTATGTTCTCAAACTGGAAATATTTTAATGTGTAGGGCTTATATAGAAGTTTATGAAGCATTGCTAGCAATAGATTGATATTTAATTGTCTTATAATCACAGATAAACTGAAACTGGACTTGCATGAGAAGTATTTTTTTTTTTACAAATATTAAACAGTGCTTTATTTGCCTTTCAATAGTAGTTTAGATTTTGTAAATTCAAACGATTACACTAGACTATAGCTGTTGAACCATATATTATTTACTATCTAATTTGGCATTCAAAGATGATTCCAGCATGATATCATCCACCAAAACATGATACTGTTCATTGAAAATCACTGAGGTCCCAGTAGTGAACAAGACTATTAGACCATATTGAAAATTTTGCACATTTTAATTTGCACATTGAGTACACACTAATACATTTTCTTGTTATTGAGAAAAATTGCTTTTTGTCAGCTTTGTCTAACATCTTAATTATCAATAGAATATGGTTTAAAGTGCATGTTTTTAGTGCTTAATCATTAGTAATAAATATTTAATAATGCTCACCATACTCCCTTTCCACTAATTTATTGTGAAATAATAATTAAAAAATTAAAAAATTAAAAATATTGAAAAAAAACTAAATGTATAGTATGTACTGAGTCAGTCAGCTGCTCTCATTGAATGGGAAGCATAGTTAGAGTACCTCATGAAAGCCACAGAATTTCATTTGGTACTTATTTCCATTTTGATAGAATTTCATTATTAGTAACCTGTTTAATCACTAATCCAAATATATTGTACAGTGTGTTAAAATAATCTGGTTTTCTGTAAGTCTTCATTTTTTAAAAATGAAGTTCGCATTGAATCTTTATTTAATCTTTATTTTGAAAATGACATGTACACCCAGGGCAAATGAAGGCTCAACAGCATATCCAGGATAGTCCCATTCAGGTGTTCTGTGTTTATGTTATATGAGGCTGCCAGGAACCTTTGAAATTGTGGTGCAGTCAGCACAAAATAAATATATTAGATGAAATGTTAAGTATCTGACCTACATATCCAATACACAGTAACTACAAAAAAGAGAAAAATGCAGCATCTATGGAATAATTGTTTGTTCTTGCAACCTCAAGACACTTTGAAGATAACTATAGCATAAATATAGTACAGTGTTTGCCAAATTCCTTACATATTGTTAATAGGAAGTAATTATTAAGATGATTTCTGTGGTGGTAATATATAATTTGCCATATTGTTTATAATACTACTGGTGCCAAGCAATGGTATGAGTAAAATAAAGCTTCAGAGTAGTATGTTTCAAAATATATTTTTAAGATCACAAGCTTGAAAGTTGTCATCATCATTATAGCTATTATTTATGATAAAATTATAATGTTTATACCATTATTTTCTGTCATTTATTTATATGATAATTATTTATATAATAATTATTATCATAGTTAATTTTTATGTATTGTTATTATTTGTATCATTATTATTATTATTGTCTTGGTTATCATTACTTTTATTACAGTTATCATCAGGGGTGTAGTGGTAAAAAAATTGCTGGGGGAACGTTGCCGGCAAAATTTGTTGACTCTATTTTTATACTGCGCCAATACCCCCCCCCCCCCCACATGAGACCTAAATAAGAAAAAAGTCGAAAATTTTAAGCCATAATGTAAGAGAATATATTGAGAATACACAGAAGATAATAACACAAATTCGTAAGAAAAATTTTCATACAGCAGCATAAAACCACAAGACTTGAAATGGATCAGTGAAGTAACAAAGTGCGCAGCACCAGGAAATCAGAACTAAACTGCAGGCAGAAGCCGTTACATAAGAAAAAAATATATCTATAACATATAAAAATATCCAACAATAATACATTGGTTATATGAAATTGAAAAAATAGTAAGGCCAATAATGCAAGAATACAAAACAGAATGTAGATATAAAAAAACTATAAATTATCCAACATCATTAAAAAGTATGATACAAAAACAAAGTTGAAAAATAGCCAATAATGCAAGAATACAAAAGAGAATGTAGATATAAAAAAACTATAAATTATCCAACATCATTAAAAAGTATGATACAAAAACAAAGTTGAAAAATAGCC